TGACAGTGTTTGTGTGGGTCTGAGTGTGTGGTGTGTGATGATGAGTGTGAGTATAAGTGTGCCGAGGACGAGGTTTCAAGGCTCCCTGGATGCAGGTGTCCTTTCTGGGCCACTGCTCAGGTCCTGACTCCCCCTTTGGCCCCTGCCTGTCACAGGGCATGGGGCCACTCGTGCCACCGGGGGCTCGGGAGGAAGGAGGCTCCTGGCCTTTTTTGCCCGAGGGCGTGGCCTCTGAGGGAAGGGTGGGCCATGCGCGGCCAGGAGGAGCACCCGGGGCTTTTTGGAGCCGGCTCCCACCGCGTGTGCTGCCCTTTCCGTCCAGCAGGTGGCGCGCCCGGGCAGTTTCCAAACGACATCAGGCGTCCCGCCCGCCCTTTTTGCAGGCGGGGAAACTGAGGCTGGACTTCTCCTTCCCCTGAGCACCAGAGAATCCATTCTCTCAGTCCACGTGCTTGTGGGGCCTGGCTGGGTGCTGGGGTTGGGAGCCATGGTGAGCAGAACATACGGGGCCTCCCCCTCCGGAGCTTGCGTCCCAGTGAGGACACCTGGATGCATCCCGTGGGGAGCGCCCGACCCTGAGACACTGCCGCTCACCCCACACCCAGCACAGTTTGCACGTGAGACCCCCAGCGTCTGCAGCCCTGGGACGCCCTGCAGCCTACACAGCCATTGCTGTGCACCGCACACCTCTCCTGTTAGCCCGAAAACCCCTGCGAAGGTCCCGCCTCCTCCACCTCCGTGTGTTTCAGGGACAGGCAGCCCATCCTGGTGGATCGAGTGTGGGGGCACAGGGTTCGCACACCCTGTCCACGAGGCTCCACCACGCTCGAGCTGTGTGGCCATGGGCAGGCTGCGTGTCCTCTCAAGTGGGTCAATGATGGCCACCACCACAGAGGGTCGTGGGGGGGCTGACTGGGTGTGAGAATGCCTTGCAAAGGCACCGGTCTCCCCACACAGGCACGCGACCAGACCGTCCCTGCTTTTATTGGAGGGTGTAGAGAAGGGAATTTTGTCCCTAAAAAGATATGTCCAACGCCGGGTTCAGTGGCTCACACATACAAACGCTCCTGAAAAGGATGGATGAATGAATGCAAAGTGGACCCGCCCTTTGGTTTCCATTGGGAAGTGCCCCAGCCCTGGAGTAGGGGGGGCTGTCAGCAGGGTTCCATGGAGTGGGGGGGTGGGATCAGAGCCCAGATGTGCGTGTGGCTCTGGCTTGGCATTTCCTCAGAGGGACAAGATTTCCTCAAGGGCAGAGAGGGGAGAGTCCACGTAACACCCACGTATTTGAGAGAAAGCAAAGGTTTTGCTGGAGGAACGCTGGAGTCAGATGAACATTTGATGCTCTGAGGCTCCAATGGGGAACATGAGCACTTTGGAGGCGTCGGATCCAGCAGGAGGATTTCTGAATCGGGTGGAATGAAAGGTGCACGCTGGATCACGAGGTTTTCTGCAGCACGTGGCAGAGATTCCCTGCCAGTGACTCACTTTTTCAATGAGTCCTGAAATTCATTCATGCCAAGAGGAGCGACGGATGACAGACCCCTTGTAACCAGCAAAGGCTCTGTTCCCGGAACAGAGGGCTCAGGAGCCCCACGAGGGAGAGGCACCAGAGGCCCTGAGCCCAGGCCTTTCCCTGCGCTGTTAGCTTGGCCAGAACACAGCAGCCAAGCATGTTTAGCTTCTGTGTGTAGGAGGAAAGGGAGCGGGAGCAGCAGTTCTGGGGGAAGCTTTAGGTTAGATTTTTTTTATTATTTATTTATTTATTTATTTATTTATTTATTTATTTAAGACAGAGTCTTGGTCTGTCACCCAGGCTGGAGTGCAGTGGCGCGATCTCAGCTCACTGCAGCCTTCACCTCCCAGGTTCAAGTGATTCTCCTGCCTCAGCCTCCCAAGTACCTGGGACTACAGGCAGGCATCACCATACCCAACTCATTTTTGTAGTTTTAGGAGAGATGGGGTTTCGCCCTGTTGGCCCAGCTGGTCTCAAACACCTGACCTCAGGTGATCCACCCGCCTCGGCCTCCCAATGTGCTGGAATTACAGGTGTGAACCACTGTGCCTGGCCAGTTCTTTATGTTTTGAAGGTTACATATTTCTGTGTGACTGTGTGTGCTGTTCTCCTAGTGGAGGTGCTATGGCCTTGATACCAATGGACGCAGAGTGATATGGGCTGGGTGTGTCCCCCTCAAAATTCCTATGTTGAAATCCTAACACCCAAAGTGATGGCGTCGGGAGGTAAGGCCTGTGATAGGTGATGAGGTCCGGAGGGTAGAGCCTTGTGAGTGGGATTCGTGCCCCCCTTCCTTCATGTGAGGACAGGGTGAGAAGGCGTCATCTGTGAACCAGGAAGCAAGCCCTCACCAGACACCGAGTCTCCCAGGGCCTTGATCTTGGACTTCCCAGCTTCCAGAACTGTGAGAAACAAATTTCTGTTGTTTAGAAGCCACCCAGTCCATGGAGTTTTTATTATAGCAGTCCACGTGGACTAATACACACAGACATCTAGAGATAAAGCAGTTATAATTGTTAGTTTTTGTCACTTGGTCAGAGTTGAATTCCTTTGGCAAGTATACTTTTTTTTTTTTTTTTGAGACAGAGTCTCGCTCTGTCGCCCAGGCTGGAGTGCAGTGGCACAATCTTGGCTCACTGCAAGCTCCGCTTCCCGGATTCACGCCATTCTTCTGCCTCAGCCTCCCTAGTAGCTGGGACCACAGGCGCCTGACACCACGCCTGGCTAATTTTTTGTATTTTTTTAGTAGAGACGGGATTTCACCGTGTTAGCCAGGATGGTCTCGATCTCCTGACCTCGTGATCCGCCCACCTTGGCCTCCCAAAGTGCTGGGATTACAGGCGTGAGCCACCGTGCCCGGCCAAGTATGATTGTTTTAAATGAACCGTGAAACACTGCCTTCAAGGTCCCCGTGTGTCGTCTCTGAGCCGATTCAACAAAACCACACAGCCAGGAAGCAATCCTGGGCACAGACGAAGCTTCACACGTAAAGATGCTCATCATAGTGTAATTCACAATAGAAAATATTGGAAGCAACTTACACATCCAACAAGAGGAGATGGAAGAACAAATGACGCCTTTTTCTCTAGATGGAATATTGTGAGATCATCAAAAGAGATGGTTTAAAGAAGGAGAGAGCGATGGTTAGAAATGTTAAAATGTGCCTACCCCCGAACCCCACAATTTCACTTCCCAGAATTTATCCCAAAGACAGGCACAGGGCAAGTATGAAGAAACAAGAGTAATGGGGTTTCATAATTATTGCGAAAACTCGGAAACCACTCACAGTCACTCCGTAGAGGCTTGGTGACCTGAACCGATGAACTTGCACAGAATGGAATGCAGTGATAGCACCAGGTTAGAAACAGATGCGCAAGTTCAAGGACCTAGTGAAGGGGTGGGTTTTAAAGGTGTGTTGAGGAGGGGGTGAAAGGAGGTTATGGAAGGATAGGAAGCAGCGCAGGACTGGAAAGAGGGTAGCTGGGACCACCCGTGGGCCCAAACAGAGCTGAGGCTTTCAGAAGGGAAGGAGGCCCCCGCCCACCACCAGCAACCAGGAGGAGACAGGGGGTAGGCACGCCCCCCCTCTCCTCCCACTCTCTGCCCCAGTCTCCTGTTGGCCAAATCCAACTGAAAGGCAGAGGGCTCAGTGGGGTGGGGTAGGTCAGCCTCCAGAGCACGTGGCGGGTGGAAAAGAGAGGAGATTGGAAGTAACGGGGCTGGCAGGAGAGGCCTCACATAGGGGCAAGCCAGAAAGATGGCACCACATCTGAAAATGTGCCTGTGTGTGTCCAGAAATTCTGAAGATGACATATTTTAGTATGCTCGCTGTCCTAATCTCAGTGGAATTGTAAGAGTATAAAATGAAATAAAAACATTATATGCATAGATGTAGAGTGTGAATATATATGAGTGTATGCACATACATGTGCATACCCATGCAGATGATGTAAGAATATATATAGCAGCAAGCAGATCTGTAGGTATGCTCTTACATTTGGAAATTGATCATTCAATACATTTATGTGGAGAGTTCTGAAAATCACGATCTGGCGGTCCGCGCACCACGGGGCTCGCAGTGATGACTCCTGGGTCATGAGATGATGGTGGCTTCTTGCCCTCCCTCCTCTCATTACACTTTCAATCTTCTGAAAATTTTGCAATGAGTACGTACGGCTTTCACAATGAGAAAAACAGCTATTTTGCAATAAATAAATAAATAAATAATGTGTGCAAGGACAAGCAGTGTCTACGAGAATTACAGCATAACACGCACTGCTGCTTCATGGCACGACATGAGGTGGGAAAAGCGGTCCGGTGCCCACTGTGAGTGTCTGTTGGGTGTGATGATGAGTGAGGACATGTGTGAGGGGAAGCAGCCCTGTCTGGGATGGATCGGGGGAGTGAACTCCGATGGGGTGGAGGCCACGTGGGGAGTGGTGCTTTTGTTCTTTCTCCACATTGCATGCGCAAAACTAAACCAAACAGGCTTTTTTTTTTTTTTTTAGACAGGGTCTCGCTCTGTCTCCTAGGCTGGAGTGTTGTGGCACAATCTCGGCTTACTGAAACCTTGACCTCCTGGGCACAAGCGATCCTCCCACCTCAGTCTCCCAAGTAGCTGGGGCCACAGGCATGTGCCACCATGCCCGGCTACTTTTTGTATTTTTTGTAGAGATGGAGTTTTGCCATGTTGCCCAGGCTGGTCTCGAACTCCTGGACTCAAGCGATCCTCCTGCCTTGGCCTCCCAAAGTGCTGGGATTGCAGGTGTGAGTCACTGCACCTGATCCCAAATGAGCTTTTAAAGGAGAGCAGGAGGTTCCATGATTGGCCAGGGAGGAGGCTGGGCTCTGTTTCCAGGGAAGAGGAAGGGGTCAGGTCAGTTCTAGAGGTCAGCTCTCCCAGTTTACAACTGGGGAAGCCGAGGCCCAGAGGGCGCCTGTTGTTAATCAGCGCTGGCACGCTTCTCTCCCCCGCCCCACGCAGGCCCTGCTGCACCTGCTCCCTCTTAGGACTGAATGCCCTACGATCCCCACCGAATGAGGAAGGACGCTAGAGGTTACAGGACTGGTCCCCGACCGCTCAGCCAGAAACAGGCTTTGAACCCTGCTGAACTCCGGTGGCACAGGCTGCACAAGGCTTGCGTCTCCCTGGAAGGGCCACTCCTCTCTGGTCAGCGAAATCTCCTCCCCGCCCAGGAATCTGGACGGCCCCTGCCATTTGCCTGGTTGTTCCCCTACCCGAGTGCCCTCGATTTTCCCCTCTGGTCGGGGCAGGAGCGGCAGGGCTGGATGCCAGGGCCCCAGGGGCAGGGAGGTGAGTGGGCACCACTCCTTCCCCCACGGGTAAGGTGGACATCCAGCTTCGGACCACATCACAGACGCCCAGGCCCCCAGCCATAGCCGGGATCACTCAGCTGGGTAACGTCTCCACTTCCCAGCTGGGCCAGAACTTTTCCATGCTGCCAGGACTTGCAAGAAAACAGCTGTCTGGCTGGTGAGTAGAGGGGCCTGGCCCTGGGTGGCCTTCCTGGCTGGTTGGCCCCAGGGACTCAGCAGGCACAAAAACAGCCTTGCTTCTCCCCAGCTGCCGGCTCAAGGTCTGAGGGACCCTGACAGGCCTGTCCCCGGCTCAGGGCTGGCTGTGCTTCCCTTCCAGGCTGAACAGAAAGCAAAACATCAGCCTGCTGGCCCGTGGGGGTTGGGGGGGGGTCACTGCCCTCTAACAGCCTGGACATTCTTGCAGCCACTTGAGCTCAAGAGGTTTAAAAGTTCCCACTGCTTGGAGGACAAGGACAGCCCAAGAGAGTCTGCTGGTGCAGGCAGTGGATATCTGATTCCCCCAGGAGCAGGGATTTCTGTGGGACTCATGGAGGACTTTGCGGGCCTGTGAACCTATCAAGAAAAATTTATGTACTTGTTTTCACCAACATTTAACTCACACACACAGACCCTGGACTCGGGGGGATCAGTCAGCTGTGACTTTGCTGCTCACAGACACCTCGACAGGGATCCCGCAGCTATTGTCCAGAGAGACGTCTCACAGCAGCACGGTCTTTACCTCCTCTTCCAGGCAGGCGCCGTGATCACCCCCACTTTACAGATGAGAAAAGCCAGGCTGGGTGATGCCATGACTCAGGGTTCCCCAGCTTGTGAACTGGTATTCGAGCCCAGGTCCATCTGAGCCCCTGGGGTTAATGCACTAAACCAGAATTGCAGGATTCCACAGCGGCAGACCGCCCCACACAGGCCCACCTCTAACAAAGGAGATGGGATGGTTAAAGCTGGTTATTTAATGTGCTGTAAAGAAACCCCTATCACTAAATCTCCATCTAGAGTTATATATGTAACTGACTTTGATTATAGTCTATGCATTTATTTATGCATTTAAAACATTATTCTGGGCAGGGATCCACAGACTTTAGTGGAATGGCAAAAGGATCCATGGCATGAATAGTGTTGAGAACCCTTGCTTTAGAACCTGCTGGTAAAATCATAATGAGGAGGTGGAAAACACAGTGCGACTTCCATGAGGGCGGGGCCTGCCTGTCTCTTGTTCCGGCATCTAAAGGAGCTCTTGGTCAGGAAGAGCATCTGATTTCCCTAAGTTTACACCTTTTTCCTGTTCCCACCCCACTATCTCCATCAGTATCATCAAAGCTGTTGTAAAGTGCCCTGCAAATGCAGCCTCAAGACAAACCCTTCTGGTGAGGCTGCTGCCAGGACAGTTCTCCCGTATAAACCCTGGAGCAGCCATGTCCCTCAAAAACCACCTATGGGAGAGGTGAGTTCCAGAGGGGTGTGCAGAAATGGCTCTGCAAATCCAGTCCAGGTGCAAATCCTGGCCCCATGATTCACTAGCTGGGTGACCTTGAGTGATTTCCCTAACCTTTCTGGCCCTTGTTTCCTTATCTGTGATATAGGCTTAATCATAGAACAATAAAAAATATTTCATATTTGCCTGATCACATATCTATGCATTTATTCACCCACCCATCCAACCATTAGTCCATTCACTCACCCATCCATCCATCCATCCATCCACCCACCCATCCACCTATTCATCCAACCAGCCAGCCAGTCATCCATGCACCTATTCCTCCACCCACCCACCCATCAATTCATCCATTCACCCATCCATCCATTCACCCATCTATCCAGTTATCCATCCATTCTTCCATCTACCCATCCATCCACCCATTCCTCCACCCACCCACCCATCAACTCATCCATCCATCCATCCATCCACCCATCCACCTATTCACTGGCCCATCATTCACCCATCCACCTACCCACCCACGCATTCATTCACCCATCCATCTATTCATCTACTCATCCACCCATCCACCCATCACTCCATCTACCCATCCATTTTATTTTTTGATGTGTTTCAGAATACATACAGAATACATCCCCCTAAGTACTTCCACATGCAAATCATTAATCAGGCTTTAATATTTCAGAAACTTAATTTTACTTCTAGGTATTAAGGTGGCCAAGTCCTGCTTCCTTCTTGCCTCTCCCTACTCCCACCCTGCCTCTCCAGGCTGAGATATCCTAGGGCAAGAACCAGCAGAACCGTCTGAACTCCTCCCAGGCCCCTGGTTTCTGGAGACCCCTCTATGGAGGAGAATAAGGACAGCCTGAAGTTGGGCGGTGGAGGTGGGGGTTGCTCCTCCTGAAGCCCTTCAGTGACAGCCAAGCACTTGCTTTTCTGGCAGTTGAGGCTTTTACTTAACTTCCCCTGGGCGCCTCATCAGCTTTGGCACTGGTGCAAACTCATCACCTTGGACCAGCTGCCTCTAGGGGTGGTAAGCTCGCCATCACTTGAAGTGGTTAAGCAAAGACTGAAGGAAGCTCTGGTGGGGGTGGGAGAATGTTGTAGAGAAAATTTAACCCAGAACAAGATTGAACTACATCGGGGCTTCGCAGCTTCTGCACTGTTGATATTTTGGGCTGGATAACTGTTGCGGAGGCTGACCTCTGCACCGCACGGCATCCTGCCATAGTCCTGGTCTCAATCCATTATATGCCAGTAGCACCCACCCCCTAAGCAAAATGACAACCCAAAATGCCTCCAGTCATTACCGAATGTTCCCTGGGGGGTGAACTTGACGCCAGGCAAGAACATCTGGACTAGAGGAAACCTACAGTCCCTTGGACCTTGAAACTCCACGGTTGATCCTGCTCCCCAGGGCACCTCCCTCCTCGGTCCCCTCTGTTTATGGTCCTGTAGCCTTTCCGTTGCCATGGAAACTGGAATTGTCTTTGCCTCTTTTTCCTCCTTTGCCCACCCCATTTACACATTCTTTCAACCAACAAACTCCCATGTGCTGGGTCCAGGGAACACGGATGCAAACAGCCCCCCGTCTCCTCTTCTGGGGCGAGAGTAACAATGGTCTGACCTCCCTAAGCGGTTTGAGGATTAAGTGAGACGGACAATGCCAGGAAACGCCGAGCAAAATGCAGGCGCGGTGGACGTCATCAGCTCTTAGAATTGCAAGCTCCAAAGAGGAGGGGGGCACCAGGCGACAGAGGAGTGGCTGGTTCTGGCTGGGGGACCCGGGGGCGGGGGAAGCAGATACCTCGCCTGCCCTTGGAAGCAGGGTCCGCAGGGTGGAGGCGCTCTGAACAGCAGGGCACAGCAGGTGGCGGGGTTGGAAGCAGCACGTGTGTAGTAACAGAAAAGCCAGGGAGGCAAGTACCGCAAAGCCCCAGAACCCGTCTTGGGGCTTGGTCCTCACCATGGGGGCGCAATGCCCCTGGAGGGTTTTAAGAAGACTGAGTGGCATGGATGGGGAGTGAGAAGGGGGCAGGAGTGGGGACGAAAAGACCAGCAGGCAGGCAGTTTCAGCAGCCCAGGAACTAGGCCGTGGGGGCTCACCCAGTGAAGGAGAAAGAGCCTGGGGGCGGAGCCAGGCTTTTGGAGGAGGAGCCGACCTCCCGGGGTGGGGCCATGACTGTGGGAAGAGCCATATCTCCGTGGGGTGGAACTAGGTCTCCTGGGGGTGGAACTAGGTCTCCTGGGGGTGGGGCCAGGCTTGGGGGCAAAGCCAGGCTTCTGCAGAGAACCAATGTCCCCTGGGGTTGGAGCCATAACTCAGGGGAGAATCCAGATTTCCTTGAGGTGGAACTGGGTCTCGTGGGGATGGGGCCAAGCCTGCAGCAGGAGCCAGAGCTCAATGGATTGGGCCAGGCCTTCTAGGGTGGGGCTAGGCCTGGGGGCGGAGCCAGGCTCCTGCAGAGAACCCAAGTCCCCTGGGGTTGGGGCCGTAACGGGGTAGAATCCAGATTTCCCTGAGGTAGAACTAGGTCTCGTGGGGATGGGACCAGGCCTGGAGCAGGAGCCAGATTTCAAGGGGTGGGGCCAGGCCTCCTGGGGTGGTGCCTTGCTTGGCGATGAGGCCATGACTGTAGGAGGGGCCAGATCTCCTTGGGGTGGAACCCCATCTCCTAGGGGTGGGGTTAGGACCGGGGCAGGTGCCAGGATCTTGGGGCTGGAGCCAGGCCTCAAGGGGCAGGGCCAGGCCTGTGGGTGGGGCCAGGATTCCTGGAGGTGAGGCCATGCTTGAGGGGCCAGTTGTCCCATGGGCAGGGCCAAGTAGGGATGGGGCCCGGTCTTCTGGGAGCTAAGGGAGGTCCAGGGGGTGGAGCCAATTCTGGGGCGGGTCTACGCTTGGGGGAGGGCCGAGCCCAGAGGCAGGGCCAAGCCACCGCCTGGTTGGAGAAGGAAATCAAAAGAGACGCCTCCTTGCTGGCCTTCTGGCTGAGCCTCACAGCCTGCTTTTCACAGGGCGCCTTCGTCTTTCGTCAACATCTGTCCAAATAGTACCTTTAAAAATCATTGCCAAAGCGTTTGCTCCCAACGGTTGGAAACGACCATCGGCAGGGGACGGGTTAAACCAATTCAGGTGACTGACACCGTGCAGTGATACGCAGCCAGCGTAACTGTCCCTGTGGAGGACGTCTAGGTGCAACGTCTGGTAGAAGGTATGAGGGCAGACAGCGTGGTCTGCATGCTCTATGCCACCATGTGGGCACAAAAGCAAAACAACATAGAATCGTGTGGTTATCTATGCGTCCAGAATTTCTGGAAAGACCCCAAGAAACTGGTCATATTGCTTGCCTCTGGGAAGCTGGGAGCCGAATAGGGCTGTGAAGGAGACGTCTCACTTCATTCTCGCTTTAGTCCTGAGCCAGCCCGGGTTGCGTGTGGCTGCGGGCCACAGAACCAGACACAGGGCCCAGTGCGCTATGGTGAGTGTTTCGTCCAGTGACCGGTGGCATCCAGGCACAGGCAGTCCTGGCCAGGCAGCAACTCCACTGGAACAGCGACCTCACCCATTCCTGTCCTCTTGACTGCAAGACGGTGGCTCCACCGCCAAGGTCACGAAGTGTACCAGGCCGGAGGGAGAGCAGTACATGGTCCAGCTGAGGTAAAGGCTTTTCCAGAAGCCCCCGAACTGACCTGCAGGTCTCACTGGCAGCGCTGGGCAC